GGCATCTGACAGACAAGTGTTTGTATGATGAGACTAGGGACAGGGCAGCTGGGCAGTTGTTGGGCAGTTCTTTCAGCTTTGGCAGTCCACCAGATTACTTCAGACCTTTTTTTCTCCCTCTGAGCTTCAGTTCCCCCAGTGACAACATTTTTATTTGTACACTGATTTTATATGTCATTAAAATGTGGCTATATAATAACTAATAATTGTTATTATATAGCTTATTTTCCCACTATGTGTGTGGATGGTTATCTCATAAGTCAGTCTGAAATTGATCATAAATACTTAACTTTAGTTGTATCCCTGAGCACTAGAAAATAACAAATGATGCAAGAGTGATTAATATATTCTAGTAAGCTAGTATATCCATGGTAACTCAAACACAGTGTCTGATCTGTACCGAGACTGAATTTGACATCAGATGTGGGATTCCTCTTACAAAAATTACTTCAGCTATGTTCTTGTAAGTCTAGTCTTCCTCCACTGCAAGTGGAGAAAGACAAAACCCTTGAGAGAATACTTCTCCCCTCTTCTTTGGAAATGAAATTTCCTCCATTATCTCTCACTGTTGACTGCAGAGGATCCTGTGTTATGACACTAGAACTTTTAACGAACTAACATAGGTGACAGGCATCCTATCTCTTATGTCTAAGCAGTTGACTTGATCATCTGGCAGATTTAGAAGAAATTTTCTGGATTAAATAAGGACTTAAAAATAACTTTTGCTAGAAATATTGACAAAGCTTGAATGTTATAAAAATGGTGTTACATATTTTACGAAGCACTAAATATAATTTAGGGTGGCAGAAGAATATGTATGAAACAAATACTGAGCTGTACAAAGAGTCATTAAAAGTTTGATGAAGTAGCATAAATAATGTGAAGAATGAGGCATAAAGAATTTTCTGATTTTATCTGTGACAGAATGAGTTTTCTCATCATAATTAAAAATACGATCCATCGTCTTCAGTATTTATGGGAGTTTTCCTAGAAAGAGCAAAAGCTCAAAAAAGACTAAAGCAACCAGTTTAGAATAGCTTTAGAATTTATCTTCTTTGGAGTAATTTCCACAAATTCAACATTTTGGAGAGTTTAAGAATATCCATATGAGGTTACTGTTTCCCTCTTCTCCCTCCTCTTCTGAAAATTTTCCAGCAGAGTCCCAACTCAAAGGGAGCTGCAGAGCAGGGAAGGGACGATGCTTGCCACAGTACTGGGGAGCTGCTGCCTTCAAAATCAACTTGAAATTCTCACTTTGATGAGGCAAAGGTTTGAAGTACTCCATAGACTTACAATGACATTTTCAAGCATGGTCGAGAAAGTGGTCAGAAGTTTCACTGAAATATTTTTTCAGTGGGATTCACACCGTGCATTCATTCAGATATTTGATAGCTTGTATTCTTTAGCAGTAAATCAGGGGATATTTGCTCAGGTCGAGTTCCTGCCCCTACTGAAATCGACAGCAAAACACCCACAGACCTCAGTGAAGCTTGAGAATCTTGATGTGTTGTGGTTACTTCCAATTTCTTTGTTTGAAATGCACTTTTTTTTTTTATAAACTGGGGTTACAAGCACTGTATTGTTTTTCTGTTTCCAAAGCTAAAATATTTTTTCCTGTTTCCAAGGAAGATACAACTGTGCTGATTTGCCATGTCTCATTCATACATTTCTGAAATAACTGCATCTGTCAGTAAGACCCAAAGTGGTTGGGCAGATTGGGCCAGATTTCATAAGAACTGTATATCAGCAGAGCTTTGCAGATTCAAGATAAGACCTGTAGCTTCTAATGAAAATTCAGATGTAAAAAATATGAAGCACACTGAAATACAATTGCTCACCCATAGTAATCAAAATATAATATGCTCACTCACAGCAAAAAGTCCTGCTTCTAGGGAATGTGAATTACACAATAAATTATTTCTGAAGCCTGTGATTGAGAAGACAGATCTGCTGATTGCAGGAGCTGAAACTACTAGACATGACAGGTTCCCATCAGTGAGGGTTATATGTGTCTATCTGACCCCTCTTACCCAGATATCTTTTAATCCCACTCAATAGTTAGATGGTTTAGCATTATTACAGTGATCATCTGAAAAAATAGTACAATCTTAAATATCTTGTGGAATGGGCATCCCAGATTTGTCACTGCTAACAAAAACATTGCACCTCACTAGAGAGCCAACCCAGAATGCTGACATGGTGGTCTGAGCCAACCCTGCACAGTCTGAAATGCAGGAAAAATGCAAAGTTCCATTTCTTTGCATGAAATGTGCAGATATAGACACCTTGCTCCCAAGTCAGGGCATAGGAAGCTTTAGCAGGCATAATCTGTGAAATGTGGAGGACTGCCTAGGTCAAACTAGCAAAATGGCATGTTTGCATAGCAGATACCTCCGTAAAATTTTCAGTGATTGTCTGGACAATTTCTACTCTATGGCCAGCATGTACCAGAGAGCAGAATCTCATCTTGGAAGCAAAGTAGGAAGGGAAATAAAAAAAGGGAAACAGGAAACAGAAAAAATAAAGTTTGAAAATAAGCATATAAAGAGGTCAGACTGGGGTAAGAAACTTCGAGGCTACAGTTAGGCATTGGATATAAGTAGGCAGAAGGCCATACTTGAAGAATGGCAGGTGGACATTGGAGACCTAGAGGTCTTCAGTTTGACCTTCTGAATCAAGCAGAGCCTACTGGAACAGGTTGCTGAGGCCTTTGCCCAGGGTGGGTTTGGACACCTCCGGGCACCCAATCCAATGTCCAGACACCCTCATGGTTAAAAAAATAATAATAATAATAACAATAATAAATTCTTTATGTTAAGTAGGAATTTAATGTTGCAGCTGGTTTGTTTCGTCTTACACTTGCTGAAGTTTGGCTGTAGTTTTCACATATTCCCTTGTTGTATACAGTGGCAAGATGACCCCAAGTCATTTGTTCCTCAGGGTGAACAAAAACACTTCTGATGTATCCCGTGCTAGAGTGGCCTAGCACTGGGTTTGCTTCAGTATGTCCTTGTCTGTCATGCACTTGGAGCCTTAAACAGGATGCAGTCCTCTAGGCATTGTCTCACAAGCCCAAGGAGAAGGCTAGAGAAACTTACCGTGGCCTGCTGGCTACACTGCTACTAGTACAGCTCAGAATTTGGTTGACCTTTGGTGCAGGGGCACACTGCTGATTCACATTTGGGTTGTGCATCTGGAGCCTTAAGCCTTTTACTATGAAACCACTGTGTAGCAAGCTGCTGCCCAGCCTGTCCTGGTGCATGGGCTTGTTCCTTCCTGAATGTGAGACTTCACACTGACTTCATCATACCCCTGGAAGTTTCTCATTTTTTCAGCCTGTCTAGGTGACTTCAAGTAGTCTTGTCCATCAGTGCACTGATGGCTAGCCCCAGTTTGGTTTTGCCTGTAGACTTGCTGAGAATACAGAGAAACCATGTGTCAAAGTTCTTTACTGAGAAAGGTCTTCTTCTCATTGGAAAGTCTTTATGTCTTGTGAGGAATCAGAAACACAAACAGCTTCATATTGTAAGCCTATAAATAACCTAGTGGTGAGGAATAGCTCTCTCTGAAGGGCAGTGCAGGGAGCCCAGTACTGCAGGGTGAAGTTAGTACCACTTCATCAAGTGTCCATCATTGGGTAGAGCAGCGGAGGACGGTTTCTTAAATCTTACTCTTGTGACTGTGTTTCAGGGTGAGTCAGACTTAACTATATAGATGGTGAGGAGTGGGAGTGTGACTGATTGACTGTGAATCACAGCATCGTAGAATCATTTGAGTTGGAAGGCACCATTAAAGGTCATCTAGTCCAACTCCCCTGCAATGAAAAGGGACACCTGCAGCTCCAACAAGGTGATCAGAGCCCCATCCAACCTGACATATCTGCAAGGACAGGACACCTACTACATCTCAGGGCAAACTGTGCCAGTACTTCTCTATCCTCACTGGTAAAAAAAACTTCTTTATATCCATTGTAAATCTCCCCTTCTTCTGCTTGAAAGCATTTCCCCTTCTATCACAACAGACCATGGTAAAGAGTCGGTCCCCTTCCTTCTTACAACTCCCTTTAGATACTCTCAGGTCTCCTCAGAGCCTTCTCTTTTCCAGGCTGAAGTTTATGTTAGGACACAGTGATCATGTGAGACAGCCTTTAACTATGGATGTATATTTCTCACTCTGATTGTAGGAAAGGAGCTTGTTTTCTTTTAACTGCTCTCCCCTCCATCAGATGATTTCCAGTTTGCTGTCACGGCCGTGTGGCTGCTGTAACATGTCCAAACTATTCATTTTAGAGTATTAGCTTTATTTTTGCTACCTGTTGCTTTTATGCACCAAATTTTTTACCCTTGGGATATTACCAGAACTGCCAAATCGTTCTCCTATTTTGTGTTCATGGTGACATTTCTCAGTATTTTCTGTCCCTTCATGGAAGACTGTGGGAGTCCAGCAGCAATTCCCAAAACCCTGAAAAGTGATTAGCAATTTTTATTCTCTAAGTGCCTAATGGGGAGATTAAGATAGGCCACCGGGTGTTCAAGCAATACCACTTGGTGGCATAGAAATTCAACACTAGCTATTAAGTGGTGAGAAGAAGGTAAGTGCCTGCCCCTGGAGATATCAGCAATTATTTTGATGCATGCATTATATCCCATTTTCTCTGGTAATTTTTATAAGTTCTGCTTTGGTTTTTTTTTTTTTTTTTTTTTTTAATGTTTCACCCCCTGATACAGGCATTTATCCACATTTTTAGTAGCAGTATTGATATGTAACCACAAGATGAGTTTCTGTTAAAGGTATTTTTCTTGCACAGTCTGTGAAGTCACATTTTTAGCCCATCCTTTTGTATCTAACATGGCATATTTGTGTACAGCAGCAAAGAAATGGGGCTACGCTTCACATTCCAGGTTTAAAATAAAAAATAGCAAAATAGCATAGGAGCTTAGCAAATGTTCTTCCGTAGCAAATCCTATCATTCACTTACACTGTCTTCTTTTCCATTTCAGGAGGTTGGAAGCATTATTGGAAAGGTCAGGAAATTACTTTTTCTCTTTATTGCCAAAATATGTCAAAATATTGCATATCTGTACCCTTCATCAGCCCAGGCTAACTTTCTTCTCTTTCTTCAACAGAAAGGTGAGACAGTTAAGAAGATGCGGGAGGAGGTAAGATGAGCCTTGATATTTTCACTTGCCTTCCTTGCCAGGGAAATCAGGGTATGGAACGGCACTGCCATCAAGTGGACAGCTCTCTGAGCATCACCTCCCTGTTACACGCGGTGCTCTGCAAATGTGCTGGCCTAAATTAAGCACTGCTGTTAATGTCACTTCCTTATCACTGCAGCAGTCTGGAGCCCTTCATTCCCATAGCAATGTGCCTGCTGCTGTCTTATCTCGAACAGATTAGCCAGCATGATTGTGCGCATCCAAACCTCTGTGTCTTTCCCCAGCCTGCCAGCATTGCTCCTGTGTGCGTCATGGTTGCCCGGCAGGGAGCTCCCATAATCTGAAACCAAGCTTTAGAGTGATGCTATATAAAGTGTGAGGAAGACTCAACCTTCAGCAGAGCTGGAGCTGGATTTCACAAGTCAAAGCATCCCTCTGCTATGTCTGGGCACAGACTTGACTCTTCCTCATTTTGCAGCAGTCAGTAGTGTTTGGACAGAGTAGACCTGCACACCAACCATTCACATCCTTTGAAAAGGTTATAAGCACAAAGAAGCTAATGGAGGCATGGCTCTGCATAAACTTTAATCTCGCCAGTTGTTGTAGGCCTCTTTCTCTACCCCAAAGCAAGCTGCAGCATCTGTAGAGAATTATACCTCGTGTCCTGCACATCAACACATCTAACCTGCACACATCCTTGAAAGTTTCCTACTTTGAAACATTGGCTAAAAGCAGGATTCAAAAGAAAAATCCTACTGTTTGAAACTTCAGGAGCACAAGGTGTATAGAGGATGCCTCAAGAAAAGCTAGTGTGGTTCTCTACTGTACTTTACTATGTCACTTGCTTTGTTATTTTGTACACTGATAGGTGGTCTCTGGCAGAAAAATCTCAGCATACATGGAGTGAAGAAAATTATGAGATATATCTTTAAGCATACACTACAGGGAGTTCATTTTCAGGCTGACTGAATTCAGAGCTCTTCTGTTGATGAGAGGTTTCACTCGTTTTTATAAATAAGTATAATTGTTAAGATTTAAAAATAAAAAGTGGGGAAAAAATTAAAACAGTTTTGAATGTACTAAGTAATCCTTAGAGTTGATTAATCACATTGTAGCCTAATTTTCAATTGTGATCACAGGTAGATATCTTTGGGTTTAAGCTAGCTGCACGCTGGGGAAACTATCACTAGAAAGTGTTCCTGATTTCTGAGTCAAACATCTTAGAGAAGTGTTATAGTTCCTGATCAGTTTTTCAAGGTAAATATAAAATATTCTCCTTGAAAAGCTACTGTCACTTATAGATAATTGCAAGCAGTTTGGTTTTTCATTTTATAAAAAGGAATTGTATGCCTTTTACTAATAACAAGGACTAAGCGGTTGTGTTTCCAAGCGATGATAACTCAGTCCTTCTTTTAAATCACTAACTCCTCCAGTCCTCCTTTAAAAACAAACCATCGTTTTATTTTGACTTCCCTGGTAGATGTGGTAATTTGCAAGCCAACAACAAAACGCAGTGTTGACTTGCTCTGTCATCAGAGAAATGTCATAGAAACATGAGTCTGAAGTACAAACCCCACCAATCTGTGCCCTGCAGTCATTAACTTTCTACACAAATATTGGAGATTCCCACATAATCTGTGATTGTTCTGACCAGAAGTGTACTGGAGGGCCATGCGACAGTTAAGGCCATATCCCCAGCAGCTCTTCAAAGCTGTGTTTCTGCCTGGCTCACTGTAGAGCAGTACCCCAAGGACAGACTGTAATCCTTGCAACCAAATGCTGCAGCCAACTGAACTCACCCCAGGCTTGATCTCCTTACTGATAGAACTGTGGTGTTTGACTGAGACAATCCCCACGTAGATTCACCTGTCAGAAGAAGTATCTGCCACCCTTTCTGTTGTATCAATACCAAGTAGATCTGCCAGCAAACACCATGACAGCTAGATTTTTCTGTTAGTTAGTGGTGTGGGTATTTTGCTGCTGTGATTAGTTGTTGTCACTTGGGGAAATAAACTATCTTAACTGTTCAGCAGCAGTACACACATGAATAAAGGCTCAGGCACATATCACATCGCTGGTTTGTGGTAACTTTGGAAGCAAAGGGTTTCAAGCTAGGATAGGGGAGATTTAGGTTGGATATAAGGAGAAAGTCTTTTACAGTCTGAGAGGTGACACACTGGCTCAGGTTGTCCAGAGAGGTGGTGGATGCCTTGTCCCTGTAGACACTCGAGGTCAGTTTGCAGGGGACTCTGAACACCCTGATCTGCTGGAGGTCTTCCTCTTCATTGCAAGGGAGTCAGACTCAATGGCTTTTAAGGGTCCCTTCCAGCTCAGATGATTCTATGATTCTACAAACTCACAGTATCTCACGTTTGCTGGAGGCCTACATACTCATAGAGGTCAGTGTCTCTGCATCAGTTGCTCTGGTGACTTGTTAGACTGCATTAACTCATTTCCATGGCTGAAACCTCAGAGGAGGCACAGGGTTTATCTTACCTAAACTGGATTTGATTATTACATCCACTGATAATCCTATTAAGCATATTTACATCTGATTTAGGGGTTTTCTCTGCAGTGCTACAGTAACATATAAGGGAATAAGTATACCTGAGAGCCATGCTCCTTAGTCTCTAAGAAGCAGTTTTCCAACTCCTTCCTGCAGGCTCCTTGCTTTAAAGGAGATAACACCATCCCCATTGCATGTCCTACCAATACTTCTTTAAAGGATTATTTTGTGCATATTGAGTAAATTCCCATGACACACAGCTAAAAGGAACCGTCCCATATTCCAAAGCAGTGCCCCAGCTAGACACATCAAGCACTGTCCAGGCTTCATTTGAGTCCAGGCTTCAAAGTATTGATACTCCCTGAAGAAAAGAAGCTTGTCTGAAATTCTGTTGCTCCAGTCCTCTTTAAGGTTAGCTTTTCAGAAGCAAAAACTTCATAATGTAATTATTTGTACCTTTGAGTTATAGAGGTGCTATTTGCATACTGTGATGAAAGCTGCTTGCATGTTTATTGAGACAGAACCTGGCTTCCCACAGTTAGTTGAATCTTTGGAGTGTGATCAGTTTATGCTGAAATTATATATGTTGTGGCTACAATTGTAGGCGAGTGAATTAGATGCCTCAAGATATTCCTTCCCGACCTGTATCTCTGCTCCTGCTTACTTTTCTCCCCAGGAAGTATAAAATTGAAAATTATTTGTTCTTTTTCGCAGAGTGGGGCTCGAATCAATATTTCTGAAGGCTCCTGTCCAGAAAGAATTGTGACCATAACAGGCCCAACAGATGCAATTTTTAAAGCTTTTTCTATGATTGCACTAAAATTTGAAGAGGTAAGCAAACAAATAAATAAATAAGAATTCTCTCTTGAAGTTGAAACACAGATATAAGTGTTTGGATTTTCTCTTGTTTGCTTTAATATTAAATATGATTTGTTTAATGTTCTATTTAATAGCAATGAAATTGGTTGTATTTTTATAAAGGCTTTTAGCAGTAACACCGAAGAAAAATAATGGGTCAGTTTACAAGCTGTTTGATAATTTCTTTTGCTCTTTGGAGGCTTTAGGGAAAAGCAATTGCTTCTAGTAATGTGCACTAATGGTAAGAAAAATGCCTTAGAAAATGCCTGGTCCCATCGTGAGTATGATGTGCAAAAAATAATTGCCTAACTTTTAGCTCTGTTTTTATCTGATTCCATTTGGTATCGATGTAAATTCTGCATATGTCAAAATGAGTATATAATTCATTCAACTAGAAATTTTTTATTTTAAAGACCTATGTAATTACTAATTACCATATTTAAGGATTGGCTTTTAAAATTAATTATAATGAAGGCACTAATAGTAAGTGAGGCAAGGGAGCGCTCAATTTACCATAGAATTACCATTCCATGCAGATATGTACCTAAAGTGCTCGGATCTCCTCAAGTTTCATGGACCAGCTGCAGTTAGATTTAGTCACTGCTTTAATGGGAAACTTTAAAAAAAAAAAAGGAAAAAAAAAAAGGCAGAAGGCTGCCAAACATGAACCCTGTTAACATAGGAGAGGACTTGACTCCCTCTGCTTTCATCCAGCTGTCTCTTCTGTACTCTGTGGGAAGCAGAAGCTCCTGCAGAGAGCAGTTCACCTTCTCCTGAAGGAATTGCCTGCAGAGAGGAGATGATGGGGAATGCCAGTGTGTAGCTTTGTTTACCTTTGGTGATTATTCAAATTTAGAGCAACAGGATCAGAAGAGTTTGTGGGTCATCAGGTGCAATTGTCTGCTAGCATAAGCAGTATGTCTTGCAATCTCCATTATGGCATGATCAAAAAGTACTTTATATTCTTCTAGTTCCTGGTATTGGATTCACAACCTCAATTCTCTGATACCTGGACACCTTCTCTCTCCCCATGGAAATTTATTCACAAGTAGTTTTTATGGCTTTGTCCACGCACCAGCAGTGGCTGATAATTCTTGCATTTCCAGTCCTGATGTTTGCTCTCAGGCATTTTTTTATAAAACAGCTTTATCCCCTCACACTTCTGCTTTTTCCAGAATAAGTGAGCCAAGCTCAGTCTTTCATTAAGTGCACTCTCCAAACCATCAACACTCCCTTTGTACCTTTGCAGTCTATGCTAAATGCCTACCTTAATTGTGAACAGGTTGCAAATGAAGCTCTGCAGGGGTTTAATTAATGGCATTAAATGTCCCCTGGGCTGGCTATCATGCTAACACAATCCCATCCCTGCTGGCAATGCCTCACACCCACCCAGGATAACATTTTGTATGTAACTGCACTGGGGCTGTGACATACTCAGCTCATCCTCAGGTGTGTTCATTGGGAACTTCCTACATCTCAGCAGACCATCTTGTTAGTCCTCAGGCATATGGCTCTTCTTTTTAATGCTGGAAATGTTAATCCCGTTCATCCTCCTCCACTCTTTCGTGATCTTTGAGATCTTCCAATGGAATATTACAGTTGTTCAATGTGTTGATAAGGTACCTTGGATTTATGGCACGGTGCATTTTTTTGTTTGTTTTCTTTACCAGTTTTTAATGAGATAATGCTGATTTTGAGGTTGAATCTTGCAGAACTGCACAAGCAATTCTCTGTAGTCCCATTGTAAAACCATCTGCTGTCATCTCCATCAGAGCTTTATCTCCTTGCCCATATCATACTTATCTCCGTTCCTTCTATAGATTATGATTCTGTTTCATGCATGGCATCATACCAGCATGCTGAGATTCAGAGAGAGCATGAAGAGCATGTTCTCCTTACAATCTTATCCTGCAGAATGCTGTGGGAATCTCTAATCCCTTCCAGTTCCCATCAAAATGAGTACCCAGTAGAAATAACATCACATTTCTCATAAAAGCATTGAACACCACATAGCATTAAATACCTCACCCACCCCACCTCTCCAAAAAAAAAAAAAAAAAAGCCAAACTCACCCTGTTGTTTTTGATAGGCAAAAAAATGTGAACTTCGGGCGTTTGAGTGGATTTTATGCATATTTGTGCTCAGATCTTAGAGGGTAATCAGGACTCTTAGCATTGATTTTAGTCAATGAGTATTGGCACTTAATGTAGAACTCATGCATCATATATATTCTGAAGTATCTGTATTTAGTTTTAATATCATTGGCTTCCAGAGCATTTGAAAGAACAGTGGTAAGGAAAAATGTCTCATAAAATCAGTTTGGTTTTCTGTAATTATTCCTATCAATACAGTGTGGTAACTGTAATGCTTTAGAGTCAAAATGAAATACTGTTTCAGAACTTAGAATTGAGCTGGCTACCCAATGCCATTTCTTATACATATCTTATTACTGGAGATTTCTTAAGCCAGTTATGAAATAGAAAATCCCACAGATGAATATCACTCTTGCTGTAAAATATTCTTTTTACTTATACTAAGAAATCTGAAGAGCACCAGTGTGATAACTGCTGAACCTATAGGTAGCAAACAGCAGTGTAAACTCCAGCAAATATTGTTTTATGGGGTATCTGTCCCTATGAATGTACTCTCCATAGCCCACAAGATGTGAGTTGTACATGAGCCAGAATACTCTTGAGTTTTCAGCTAGAAATGCTACCAAAAAAAAATAAGTTGTGAGAACTTGGTTTAAACTCTTTGTATCAAATTTTGGGATGGGAAAGAGGGGAGGAATTTGTGATTAATTTGTAGAGTCTGGGAGAAAGCTCATGTAACACTCTGAACATGAATCACTTCCTTATCAATGTGACTGATACCCATCAGGGATCCTAGATGAGGAAGACAGACAAAAAACCATGCAAAGTCCAACTCTTACATCTTTCAAAGGCCTGAGGAGATGGATGCAGTGCACAGAAAGTTAGATGCTAAAGAAACAAATATTCCAGTTCAAAATAAAACTGTCCTGTGAGAATTTTTCCAGCCAGCACTACTTTGGGAACGTGCAGTTCTGGAGGGGATCTTTTTGCTCTCTCATCTTTTCTGTGTTTTTAAGCTAATCTGATGCCTTTACCAGTATGTCACTGAGATGCCATAGTTTAGGTTTGACTACTTCTGAATGGTGAAGAGAAAATAAAGTAGAGCTGCCTTAAATGAACAAGTGTTTTGAAGTGCTTTTAAGTGCACCTGAGTGCAGTGAATGCTTCGAGGCCAGTTCAGCTATGATGTAGAATTGGGAGACATTATCAGGATTGTGCTGGGTGGCTTTGAAGTGAGTTGTTTACCTACGTCTGGATGATTATGTGCCACTACCTGACACTAACATGATCTAGTGATGTGATATCTTCCAGCTGAAAGATCGGTATGACTTGCACTTTATTTCAGGTACATGTGTGTTGCAGAGCTCTGCTATCCTTCTCGCTTTATTTTGGATTGCAATCTCTCACTGACACTGGTACTAAACAAAATGTGAGTTAAGGGCTGCAGAGGACTGATTTGATCGCTGTCTTATGGTGTGCAGACATGCCTCATTGTGTTCAAGATTTTTTCATCTCTTTGAAGCTTAGCAAGGTCATACTGAGCCATTTCTTAGACAGCAGAATGTTACCATCCAAAATGCAGAGATACTGCAGCAAACAGTGCTGGTGTTCCCATGTGCTGTTTGGATAACTTGTGAATTGCTTGCTTGCTTGCTTGATTGATTGATTGATTTTGGTCCCTTCATTCAATTGGAAGGTCAGCTTTATCTTTTCCTTTGTGGGTTTTTTGTTTATTTGTTTGTTTTGTTTTGTTTTGTTTTTGTCTCATGGTTTTAGGAGTATGTAACTGAGACTCCTTGTTTGGGTTTGACTCCTTTTAGATGATGAGAATGAGGAAATTAGAGGGATAGTTTTGCTGTGGCTGGAAGATTTTGAAGAAACAAAAATATGTTTAAAACAGTGTAAACTTTGTGACAAGTAGTATATTAAAAAGCCCTTGAGAATAGGCAGTGTAGTTTGACTAGATAACAGAATACATGAATACATGTTAAAATATCTAGGTACAGATAACTGCTATTGTTAATACTCTGGTTACATAACTGTGATGGAAAATATTTTAGAAAGTGTACAGTGTTATAAATATTCAGATCTGCTACAAAAGAGAAATTAAGCATGGGTGCAGCAAAGTATTTATCAATATTATCTGCTTTTATTTGCTTCAGATTGGTCATAGATCATTTTTGTCATTCCCTCTTAAAACCTTTTTTCTTTGTGGCAATGAAGAGAAGCTATGTGAAAAGATGTAATATATAGTAGAAATGTTCAACTCAAGATAGTGGAAAAGAAACAGAGTCAGGATTTGGGGGCCTGTGAACTCAAAAACCTGCTTGTTTTTTCCATCTGCTTCAGCTGGTCTAAAGGCAGGTGCCACAGTTACCTCCCAGTCTTGTCACAGAGCCTGTCCCCTGCACAAGCCTTCCTCCTCTGCTTCTTGCGCAGTCATGCTTATGGTGTATCATCTGCATTGCTGGTGGCTTCACCTGCAGCAGAGATGAGACACAATTAGTTACAAACTGCCCAAGTCCTCAAGAACTGTTCAGGCATTTGCTCTGCGCCCTTTAGTACCCAAAAGGAATGACAAATCCTCAGCTAATTCTGTTTGATGTTGCTATTACAGGACATTAATGCTTCAATGACAAACAGCTCAGTGACAAGCAAGCCACCTGTAACACTTCGGCTTGTCGTGCCAGCAAGTCAGTGCGGATCCCTTATAGGAAAAGGAGGCTCCAAAATCAAAGAAATCAGGGAGGTAAGTCTCGGGGTGTCTGCCAGGGTTTCTGACTAGCTCAGTGTTGTTCCATTGCACTTGGCCAATGGAGGTCTTTTACTCAGAGGGTGATGAAGCGCTGGCACAGCTGTGCAGAGAAGCTGTGGTGCCCCATCTCTGGAGGCACTCAAGGCCAGGTTGAATGGAGCCCTGGGCAGCCTAAGGTGATGGGAGCAGCCCTACCCATGGCATGGGGTTGGGGCTGGGTGGGCTCTGAGGGCCCGATCAACCTAAACCATTCAGTGATTCTGTGAAAATTATTTTACTGAAATTACATGTACAGCATTTACTGTGACTCATCAGTTCATGGCAGTTCTGGAAGGAGGAGGTGGTCATAAATGACAGCCAGGGTTGTTATCCTGTTGACTGTCAAACGTGCTGAGTGAAGAGCCTCAGAAAGCCTTGCTCTGTGGCAAGCCAATGACGACAGTGCCCTTGTACCTTCCTGGACACAGAGACAGTATATGAAATAAAAAAACAGCTTTACAATTCATTCATTGCAACACTACTAGAGCAGCTCAAACACAGCTTGGATGAGGAAAATAAACAACAGAGAAAACAGTCAAGCACATTTCAGCAAATCAACACCCTAGCAAATAAAAATGTCCTTTCAGATTTCTTTTTCAGCATTGTCCCCCAGTCAGCAACACTGAGAAGGCCGAGCCAGACTGTTGTGGACTTTTCAAGGCCAGTTCCAACGTTTGCAGTCAGGGAAAGACCCAGATTGTGCTGGCGAGGCCAGGTCATGAGGTCAAACTCTTCATCTACCTTTTTTTTTAATTGATTTGTTTTTTTGTTTCTCCCTAATCTCACTGTTCCATGAATGACCTGACCTCATCTATTCCCATCTCATATTGATTTATTTTTAATTCAGACTTTATCTAAAGGTATTCATTCAATTCACTGTGCTAGCAGCCACGTTTTTCTCTAATCAGAAAATGCAAAAATGATCACATGGTGTCAGCTTGAATTGTTCCTACTGTGGCTATGGTAACTTAGCACATGTCAAGCTGAGGATCTGATATTTTTAATCAGTAAAACAAGAAAAGTAGGCACGTGCTAAAATTATATAAAGGGAATCTGAATAAACATTTCTGAAAATGGCTTTTTACTCTGGAGAAAATGATGGTGTTCCTTCTACGTTTATATTTGTTCTAACACAGAACAAAGTGTTGAATAGCAAGATGAAGTGCTGACTGTTTTTTTATTTGACTTTGTCAAAACAAAAGCTTTTCACCAAGTTTTCCCAGGAAAACTTTCCTTTTTATCTACAAATGTATCTTCAAGACAGTATGTTTCATTGAACTTCCAAGTTTCATTTCAAGCATGGAAAAAAAAAAAAAAGGACATTTTGGTAAGAGAAGCTTTCATCAGATGATGTAGAGGACTGGAAAATGTTTTGATCAAAATTAAATGTCTAAAATTTGCTCTGAAATGTTGCATTACAGTAACCATGGAAGAGTAAGGGACCATAGAGGACTGTCCAAGGTCTTGTCCTCCTGACTTTCAGATACTTCCACATTCTTTCATTTGGATTCAAATGTTATTGTTCTGGGAGTTTTTCAGTGAAGTTCTTTTTGCGGGCATATCTGGAAGGTTTTTTCCCCTCCTCACATGTACTGAAGTGCAAACAGTACACACTGCTTCCATCAGCTGGCAGAGCAGCCAAAGGCTGTTGCAGTTTTTGCAGCCAGACGAACGTCGTTTCTCCGTGTGCATTTTGCTTTATAATGGGAGCACATGAAAACATGTGTGTGTTGTCTGCTGTAAACTCATGGAGGAATAATTCAGAATTCTGCCATTTGAAGTGGTCTTCTTATTTACCAAGATCTGCAAATAATTTTACTTTTTTTTCTTGATATTTTGTTACCTTTTTTTCATTAAAGAATCAGGGAGCTGTGCCTCTCATTAGTACTTATTTTCAAACATGCTTTTGGGATGTGGGAGACAGTGTCACTTGATGTGCACTTGATCTTCTGTGCAAAATTAGGTATATAGGAAACACTGTTCTCTTTATTCAGAACTGTCTGGCAGTAGGGTTCTGGCTAGTTTCTCATTTGTGTTAGAATAGTATTGGGCAGAAGCACCAAGTGTGGTCTGTTAAGACTTAGCTGCGGGTTTTATAGCTGTTACCTCTTTGTCTTTGTACTGGAAATCTTTGTACCTCTTTGTACTGGAAATCTCATCCGTAATGGTGAGTGAATGCTTGCAGGACAGAGGCTCTTACAGGTGAAGTTGGTGTGTGTACAGTGATTATTCTGGTGAGAACAGTTTCAGAAGCAGTTAGCTACTTCCCTAGTGCAAGGAAGTAAAAGGATATTGTGTGGTCAAAGGGATCTTTGGATAAGGCTAACGTAGCATGGATGCACACTTTACATTTGCATAGTCAGAAGGGTATTGGGAAAATCTTACTTATTTTTTCATTACTGATATATGACCAAAGTAAAAAAATCAACAAAACTAGCATTGGAAGCAAATATATAAATGACTGCAGTATTTTGCAGAGTATTTTATGCTAGTCATACAGATACCCAGAACTGTATGTTAAACAATAACCACTATCAAACAGCAACAACAAAAAAAAGTGCATCTACCTCAAGATATGATCTAATTTCATCATCACACAACACACTAAGTAGCAATTGCATGAGAGATGGATGCTTTTTTGTGTTCAGCCTGGTAGGGCTGCTGCCCAAGAACATCAAGGAATGCATGCATTTGCAAGACAAGGCTGTAAGAAAAAGAAAGAAAAGCATGGCAGATTGATGAAATTATGGTGAAATTTTAAAGCCTGTTATGGAAAAAGGAATTGATATCTCTTTAAATAGCAGTAGTGAACAGAAGATGCAATCAGTAATTTAATCAGTCTCTGGAAAGAAGAATAGCATGGTGTTGTGTGTGACCACCAAGAAAATAAAATAACTCCTTGCTGGCTGACACAAACTCAATGATAATTAAAAGCTAACTAAATATATACATACATAGCATTTCAATAACAACCAGGAAAACATTTTGTTTGTGATGTGTGGAAGTGCAAATTCAATATGAAATGCATGTGGGCTTTTTTTCTGTTGATTGAAAGTCTTTCATGATTTTTGTGAAATAATGCCAAGGATTATTTTGGCTTCCACCCCTCCCCTCCCGTCCCCTGGCATTGCCTTGCTGATAGTGATACTCTGTTTGGTTTGCTTCTGCTCAAGTCCACAGGAGCCCAGGTGCAAGTAGCAGGGGATATGCTGCCAAACTCAACGGAGCGTGCAGTCACTATCTCAGGCACTCCCGATGCCATCATCCAGTGTGTGAAACAGATATGCGTGGTCATGCTGGAGGTAAGTGATCGTTTGGGTTCTTGCCTCTCACATGGGAGATGTTCAAACATGTTGTTGATTTTCAGCTGCCTGGGGGTTCCCTGAGGTCCTGTCCATCCATCCCCGGTCAGGGATTTCAGGGGGACCCTGACAGAGCCTCAAATACTTGACTGGTGTCTGGGAACCTCTCAGAGCAGGCTTAGCAACCTGGGGCCAGGGCTATCATGGCACTGTCAAGCAGCAAAGCATGGTCCTGCACAGAGCTGCAGCCCATCTTTTGAGAAAAACATTTTATTCTGATGCATTTTATTCTGATGATTCTGAACAGGACAAAAACACGTAGGTCTTGTTTAACGTAGAAGCAATTCTGGCTTGTGTGATTTAAACGTTGCACGACTCTTTCCTTCTTTGGGGTCAGATCACTGCATAAGGCTATTAAGTTTCTTTGCAATGGCACTTTTTTAGCTCTGAAGTTAAATGATACCAAATTAATTTCTACACAGATTTGAGCTGTTTAATCCTGTGTTGAACGTGTCTGTACTTTCATGCAAGCACACATCTCAACTGATTAAGTTAAAGTTTGAAAAAACATCAACATACAAAATGAAAAAACTTGACATGACAAACACAGCTTTTGACTTGGAATGTACAACTTCTCCATTTTTATCACATTTTTTTGCTGGAATATTTTCTCTGTTTGGAGTTTTGGGTTTTATGGGGTTTTTTATCTTACGTGTAGTCAGGAGCTGTCTCATAATCTCTGATGTCCTACTTATTTTATATTCCTTAAAGATAGGAGAAGCAGTGAGACAGACAGCACTGTGGCTACAGGCTGTTCGTAAGAATGCACTTTATCTAAATAACAGCCAGCATTATGCAAAAAAAAAAAAAAAAAAAAGGCACAAAACTGAAGAAATGCCCACTATTTTACTTGGAAAAAAAATGACTCTTGCTTCAGTTTTTGCTGGACTACTGTGAGGAAAGAATTTGTGTATAAAAATAATATAGAAGATAATATTCAAAAACTAATGCTAGTTCATTAGATGTAGAACACATGATAGTAATTTATATCAGCTTTGAGCATGGTGTGTAGTTCTGTATGCAAGTGGCATTCATGGAATAAATAGATATATTTAATTTAGAAAACAAACCACTCACACTGAAGTGAAATAGCAAAGTACTTGGTATTAATTAATGGAAGTGTTTTGGTTGTTACCTTTCTTAGTTGTAGTTAAAGCATTGAAACCAGGGCATAATTCTGCTGGGTAGCTGGTAGCCTGTTTTACAGGCAGACGCTCCCACTTTGTGTACGGGGAGAATGTTAACCTGGCTCAGATATTTTCCTTCATACACTTGCCTTGGGCTGCAGAGAATATGTTCCCTTTCTGTACATGATGAAGGCTGTAGCTGGGAGGGATTTTCTCCACCCTTCCTGCTCAGCTGAACAAGAGGAAGGATCAAGCCAGTCGCTTGTCGTTTAGCAGCCGACTTAAGTGAGTCAGTAAAACAAGAAATCTTGATGTGCAGCAGCATAGGAAAGATCAATAAGCAGAGTGTGCTCAGACTGGCCTCTTCCAAAACATTGACACAATTTGATATTGTTTCCTGAAATGCCTTAAAGTGCTTAATGAAGCTTTATAGCTTCACCAGCTAAGAGTGGTAGAGAAGCCACGAGTGCTGGCTGTCAGTTGGATAACTGAGGCCTTGGCTTTCCTACCTGGGGCTCAGACATCAGACTTCTGATTCTAGGACTCTTGGTAAGGAGAGCAGGGTGGGCTGGGGCCGGGTCAGTGCACCCCTAGTGCCTAGGGTGGCCAAGTTAAAGAGTGGTTTTATGTGCATTCTGCTTCATTCTGCATTTTGATCACTTTGTGTTTTTGTCTGCAGTCCCCACCCAAAGGTGCCACCATCCCCTACCGTCCCAAACCTGCCTCTGCACCTATCATTTTTGCAGGTGGCCAGGTAAGAGCAGACACCATTTTGGCTTCAGCTGGAAACCACACCGTCTTGGCCCAACCTCAGCCAGCGCCTGTTAGTTTTCAACTTTTACTCATTTTTTTGCCTGGTATAGTATTGATGTGCTCTGTCTACTCTGTGTGCTTGCAGCTTGCAAGGAAGGAGAACACTGCATTGCAAACTTAAGGGGAAAACAATGACAAGACATTGAGTGGGGAGCATCTGATATACAGTGTGTTTCCTGCTGCTGTATAAGCCTGGGAAGTGGTATTCTGCAGATTACTTCAGTAGTACCAATAACTTCCTTTGCCCTATAGTTCCTTAGTAATGGGGTTTTGAGGCTACACAAACTATATAAATGTAGGTGCAGACCTTCCCAGCCATTAAGTCTCATTTGTAATGGAATCAGAGCTTTACTGTATCTTTTTTATATAGTGAAATTTTGACTATTTCCCCTTCGTCTTATGCTATATCAGTGTTCTTATCTGCTTTTAAAAACCCATGTGCAGTGTAACCCTTCCTTGTTTTGTGATAATGTCCTGAAGTGAGTTTGCAACAAGTGGCTGTGACAGGAATTTACTCTACCACCATGAGCTGCAAGGGGAATGCACTTTTAGTAAATGAACCAACAACAAATGCAGCTGATACCAAGCCTAAAAATACCATAGGAGGCTCACGAGGAGATCTGTAACCAGCAAGCTATGAAGAGTGGAAAGGTGTCCAGGATGCTGCAAACCCTGCCCAAATCCTGCTCTCCTAAATCTAAGCTAGAGGAAGGCCACATTTCCCTTCTTAGGATTCATGTATGAAGCCTCTGTGGCAAAAGGCATCCAATGCTAGTCTATTCTTTCACCCAGGATGAGAGCAAAGCCCCTTTTTAGTGTTTATCCAGTGGGAAGAGCCACTCACGTGCATGATGGGACACCTGCAGGCCTAGAGACCATGTCTTATGCAGGGAATACAACAGGGAATCTCAACAGGGAATACAGAAATCATTTGAGGAGCCAGACACCAAGTTCTTGGTAGGGCAGGTGGCATAAGGTGCTGCTGGCACAGAATCCTGCCTCTCCCTAATCTTCCAGTGTGCCAGCAAGCTCCTAAATATACCAAGCATACAGCAACAAGCCATTTCCTCCTAAAGGCCTTTGCAATAAACTGTCCCTGTTTTTTATTTCAGAGTTGTACTTTCTAGCCTGTAATGAGATATTGTGGCATATTCTCAGACTTTTATAATCTGGATAAAGTAACTTGAAGTTGCTGGGTGTCCAAGTTTACCCTCTAGGTTTTCTTCAAAGTAAGAAATCAGCTCCCGTAGTGACCAACGTTGATTTGAAATTAAAAATAAATTGCCAGAAGTTGGTCTGAGAGTTCAGAATAATTTATTCCAGAAGTATATTAAGTTTATACTGCAGTGCTTTCCTTTAAGAAATGCATGTGTACATAATGCAGCAGCCAATTGTAATTGCTTTGAAGATTGTATATGATTACTCAAAAGCACTGAAACTGTTTTCTAGGGTGCCCAAAACAGTTCATATAAATAACTGAAAGTGTTCTATTTGAAGGCCTGATAGTTCTTGCCATCTTCAGTTTTACCAGTTAAAAAGGTGTTGTCGCTTTTTTGATGCAACCTTATTGATGTGAGAGCGTCTGAGACAGATGAGTTGTGTGTGCTTTGAATGTGGTCTTTGACTAACCAAACTTTTATAGAAAATGCTTGAGGTATGTTTGAAAGTCACTGTGGAAAATCACAGTGGAAATTAACATTGAAAATAAAATTTCAGTTAGAGTATTAAGTCCACCCAGCCCTTTGACTGCAATATCAAAAGTTATTTTTCCATTCTAAGTGACATCATGGCTATCTTTAAAGGTTTCAGGTTCTTTAATGCTTGCTTTTCAAACAGCACTAGAAAAATTTGAATTCTGTTCTTACTTAACAAGGTGGGGTTTTATTCTTGTAAGTATGGCTTTAATTTTCTTGTGCTTCTTCAATATTGCACTGCCTAACAGAAGGGAAGTTGAACTGTACTATTCTGCTCTGCCATTTACCAACATCCAGCCTAAGCAATGGTTTCTAAAAAAAAATTGCACTTTTGCCTGAAGGAAGCAAATAGAAGATTTCTGCCCCTTGTGCTGCATTGTTGTTTAGACTGGTGCTCAACAGTGACAGCTTTGCTGTATGCCTCTTAAATAGAGGAAGATATGCAGGCCAGGTGATTCATGCTCTTACCATAGTCAGTACATCCATTGGAAAGTTGTCTAAGCTTTGAAGGAAGCAGACTTGTGGCTCCTGTCCTTGCTAGGCATTACCATACAGATGCCTCAGTAGCCGCTACTGGGCTTGTACTTCTCATGCATCTGCCGTGGAAAGGGCAGAGTTAATAAACAGAGCTTTGAGTGTTACCTACTCCTGTTACTTCCATAGTTTTGTTTGTGTCTTCATGTGTGTATGTGAAATATGAGCAAGAAGAGCAATGAGGAAGAGGGTGCTTTTAGGTTTGTTAGCAAGTTTTATCGCAGTAGTTCATTGCTGGCTTGGAGACCACATCTTGGGAAGCACCCTTGTGAAAAAATGATGTCCCCTCAGCTGGATTTGAAGGAAACCCAAGATCTGGTTGATCTATTCTGGTCCACCAGAGAGAGCAAGAGACCAGAGTGTGTTTTTCAAACCCACTGTTTGCTCATTGGCCTAGGTCTCTGCCCAGTGCCATATCCATTGAATATCTGAAAGGCTGCTCATGTGCTTGGCTACACTCAAAGCCTTCCACTCAGCAGAGAAGTCTTAACATTTCCTTAAGGTTGTCCTCATTTGGTAAAACACTTAAACACACACTTTGCTCATAAGACCCACTGATGGCAGTTAGAGTCTGTTTTCGTAGATGGGGACCTTTTCATTTATAAACCATTTCTAAAGGCCATCCCATAGATGCATGTGAGTATGTATGCAAGTGAACATGCCGTTGAGCCCAGTAGTTCCTTCTGGTTGAAAACTGCTCATGTGCATAATATTTGCCAGATTTCAGCCTTGTTTTATAGCTAATTTCAAAATTAAATGAAATGTTTATTCTCCAGAAGGGAAATTTTGCTGCAGAAATGTGCATTAAGCAGTTGGAGCATAAAGGGTTTTAATATCTGAACATCATTAAATGAATTGTTTTATCATTTGCAGAGGATTCATTGCTTTCTAAGAGGCCTTTTGTCAAATTAGCATTTTGCAAACTAAGCTAATCAGCTCTGTTCCTGTTTATAATTCTCCCACTACAAATATTTATACATTATAATTTGTCCTTTTGCCTCCCTGCCCGTCTGAACATAAGCACATTAAAATTTTTCTGACATGCCTTTCCTTTCAGAAAAGCTCTACAGAATAAAATAGAAAATTATAATCTCTTCATAGCTGTGTCTGTGTAGGCCATTGCACAGAGTGAGCAGAGCCAGCAGGGGAGATGAGGGGCTGTGTCATGTGCCATGCAGGATCACATCTGCTGGCACTGTGTTGGTGGGCCAAGCAAGCCACCTCCTGCATCAGGGTTGCCAGAGCGTAGGCTGTAGCTCTTGGCATCACCCCATACATCCTGTGAACAACATTTTGCACCATGCCAAGCATTATCAAGCAGCACAAGAAAATTAAGCTTTACTTGGTGTAGAGGGCGACGTGGGTGGCATTCGCAGTGGGGCCAGCAGGAGGCTGCCCTGTGCTTGTCCCACCCAGCTGACCTCTGTCTTCCCTGTGCTTCTTGTTTCCAGGCGTTTACAATTCAGGGGCAGTATGCCATCCCTCATCCAGACGTGAGTCCAGCACATGTAAATTACTCCCTTTTTCTTCCTCACCTTTTCGTTTGTTCCGGGCAATATTTACTTTCTACTGCTAGCAATGGAGTTAACATGGACTAAGGACACATGTCCCTAATGACATACGTTATAGCCATACATTATAGTTCAGTTGCATCTCTTATCTTGTGTAATACTTACTAGAAAGTACAATGGCCCAGGAACAAATCACAGTTATCTCAGTCTTCTTTGCATGTGATAAATCTGAACTCTTTTAATATGTAATTCTACAGTAATTAGTTAATATTAACAGTAGCTGCTACATGTAATAACAGTAGAGAGTGTCATTTATAACCAATTTGGGGTTTTTGTTGTTTCGTTTTCTTTTGTTGTTTGTTTTTTTTTTCTCTACAGTAGATCAGAATGAATGATTAAACTTTTTTTTTTAATATAATTTTAATTAATCCAATTTTAGAACATGTAAGACGGTTTCTCTGCTCTGAAATAATTCCATTTGATTGGTTAGTTCTAATTTCCCATCCTGCCCTGCAGTTGACCAAGCTTCACCAGTTGGCTATGCAGCATCCCCCCTTTACTCCCCTTGGGCAGACCACCCCTGGTTTCCCTGGTACGTACCCATGACCTCCTGGGGATGTCCTTCTTCTTAACAGCTTTGTTTCCCGTGGTCATTACATCATTTTAATAACAAATGTGGTCAATGACCAACAATCCTTCTGTTTTGACACATTAATCTTTGTTGTTCCCTCCCTTTCCTCTATTACAGTTCCTTTCATCACTACTAAGATTTGCTTTGTTTGTTATGTTTATTTAATCAAACCCACTCCATTTGTGCCATTGGCTAAAAATCCTGAGTTATTTCAATCCTTATAAAGTTATTGTGGACCATGCAGTATCTACCAGTTGACACTGAGTGAAGCACTTGGACATATGTCCTGCCAAATATCCAGTTTGTTAGCATCTTTTGTAAACCAAAAAATACAAGAAAATAGCATGTAATGGCAGTATAGAAATTTAGATTAAAGAAATTACTGCATGCTAAAACTGGAGCTCATCATAGAGCCAGACTTCTTAAGACCATCACTAATCGTCACTGCTGGGACAAGTGCCTCATGTCCTACTAGAGCAAATGACTGCTTACAAACTGCAGTGGAAATTCAATTCACTTAAGAAATGTGAAATTCAGCCTGTGTTGATTAAAGTGCATGAGCTGATAACAAATTATTTACTCAAGAGAAAGAACTCATGTCAAGAGAGAAGTCGAGTCAATTAACCATACAATAAATTATTTTTTCTATACTTCATTAGATTGGAGCTTGGCATCAAAAATTTCACAGAATAAACTGGTACATGCTTTGTATGGCAAATAACATTTTATCACATACATCAAATTTTGTGAGCAACTTGACTGTGTTATAGTCAACATCAAATAACTATATACAGTTCTTAGTAGAATGTAAACTCAAGTAAACTGTAGATGAGTTGCTGTTTTCTAAATAGCTCCTTTTCCACAATTTCTAGTTGGAAATGAGTATTTTGGCATGTCTTCAGAGATGATAATGAACAAATCAAGACAACGCCCCAAGGAAATAAATTAAAAAATAAATGAAAAGGGGAGAGAAATGACATCCAAAAAATCATTTTTGTTTTTCTATGGTGTATCTGATAAAATATCTGCAAGTAACACTGAATGGCTTTTCCCAGCTTTCTGTGTTCCTCATTCTTGTCATTAACATGCTGCTCCTTAATCTTTTCCTGGTTGTATTCATGAGATATATGTTCCTATAATGTTACCGTGTGTTAGAGCAGTAATTCCATTTCTCCTTTTTCCTTTTGTCCACCCAATTTAAAAACAAATGTATGCAACTTACATTATTTGGTACTTTTCCCTTCCAAAATGACCCTTCCCAACATTCTTCAGCAACTAATCCCTCATTAATTTCCAAATTCTTTTAGGTTAATTTCCTCATCGTTATTTTATTATTATTATTATTTTTAATTTTCATGACTATGTATTTGGTTCAACTACTTTTTCTGTTTGAGTTCCACTCTAATTTTCTGTATTCTACAACACTGGGTAGAGAGGTCAAATTTCAGTCATCCGTTAATTTCTGAATCAATGTATTTATGATGAGCTTCAGAAATGATTTGTAGGTGAAACCCTCCATTTTCTAAAGGATTTGTATGACTCTGTGGAATCATGTGACATTTGTTGTTTTGGTGGGTTAAAGGTTAATTAAAATAAGACTCTTTAAAAGCGAGTCCAACCCTCTTGAGTTTTGCATCTTCTTTCATTTCTGTTTCGCTAGCACTTCTCTACTTTTCTTTGCTCTTCTGGTTTTTTTTGTTGGTATGTTTCCTCCTCTATAGTATCACTTGTTGGCTTGTTGTGTCTTACCCTTTTTGCAAGCGACTGGCATAACATTTTCTGTCTGTTCCCCACATAGGACTGGATGCCACTTCTCCAACCAGTTCCCATGAACTTACTATTCCCAATGATGTAAGTGGATCCATAGTCAGTACTGCTTTCTCTTCTTGGTCTCCTCTGCCACCGGGGGGAATTCTGTCATCGTGGGTGATTTGCAAACACTAGTCCTCAGAAACAACCTTGGCTTTGGTTTTGAAGGGAGGGAGGTGCCATGGGTTACTGACATGCCGACAGCAGTAGTGAAAGTGGCCCTCCCATCTCATGTCACACCTTCAGTGCTGCTGGCTTAGTTCCATAGTGGCATCCACACCATGGTGTTTCACCCATTTCCTCAAAGCCTGGCTGTCAGCTGCTTTTAGTGAAAAGCAGACATGGTCTGAGACACATATCATGTCATGCGTGACCCTAGCAGAGGGGCTGGAGAGTGTCGGAAATTGCTCAGACCCCATCTGCTGTGAGTTGGCTGGAGACCACCATACCGCAGTGGTGGAATGGAGCTGGTCTGCACCAGAGACTTTGCTTACCCCAGGCAGAGTATTTCCCCTGCAAAAAGTTATGTAAAGGTGCAAACCAAACGTTGGTTAGATAGAGGTACAGTACAAGCATTTAGCCGAGAACAGGGGCTCCAGAACTCTGCACTGGCTGTGACAGACAGATCTGGTCTCCTGGGCAGTACAGAGCTAATCCTCAAGCAGCTGCTCTAACTGCTCAGCTGATACTCTGTGCATCATGCAAATATGCCTTCAAGTTTTATTCTCTTTCATATGCAAAGGGATTTTTTTGAGTTTGCATTACAAATGAGTCACCTGAAAAATGGACAGTTTCCCCTCCACTGAAAAAAGCTTTCAAGTATGAGTGGGAACATAAATAGCAATTATATTTTTCAAGAGACACTTAGAATATTCTATAAGCCCTATTAAACTCGGTGGCAATGACTTACAGTAAGAAAAAAAAGATATAGAACAACAAAGAAGAAGCAAAGGTAAATCTTTATTTTATGAGCACAGTGATTTTGTAAGCTTTATGTGACTTAAAGGCTGTCCTGCTGATCTGTCAGTAGTTTATAACCCAATTTACTGTAAGTTGAGGATTTTATGAGAGCATGGTACTTATCCTTACAAAGCAAGTTTTTGTAATCTGACTTTCAGGCAATTTTTGTTCTTGCCCCTGATGATGTAAAGCCGAGGTTATTCTTCTGACTTCACTTCTTCAGGGTTCCTGTCAGACAGAGAGGGAGACAGCTGGCCTCATGTGCTGTAGTGCACTAGAAGAGGAAAAAAAATGATCTGTTTCTGATGAGGAGCTATGAAATGCCGTGGCTCAGCACTGTTCTCTCAGAAGCAAATACACATCCATGTGTTGTTTCTAATAGGAAATTTGTTGAGCTTCACAGCGTGTGCCTTGTTGTTGCTAAAGGAGGAAAACCAGGGCCAAGGTGGGGTTGTGCTTATAAACAGCCTGCAGACAGTGAAAGGATGTTATTGCATTGGTTCAGATGGGAGAGGCAGCAGCAGTTGTGCAGGAAACCATGCACTGGTAATTTGACTTCACTTGCCCAGTCAACATCTCTTAGTCCTGTTTTGGTCAGAAACCTCTCTCATTTTATGCATGCAGGCCTGCAGAAGTCCAGCACAGGTGAGAACAGTATGTGGCTTGCAAATATCCACTTGTTCTACAGTTGCCACTGCACCTACATATGTGTTACACCTATTTTTTAAAAACAAGATAATGATAAATACAAAAAACCAAAGCACCAGTATGAATCTGGTGGAAGAAAATCAAGTGTGAAGAGAATGCGGAGCTCAGACTTGAGGTGTGTTCTGCACAAGCCTCTGTGTGAGGTAGTGTAATAGTGGTTGTCCTTTAGGGAGCAGGAGGGATGACATCACTGCTGGGCACAGATATCGGATTTCAGAGCATTGTGTAATCCAATCCCCAAAATGGCCATTGAAAGTAAATGAATAAACCAATAATAATAATGTAAAATCCACCTCATTAGAAATTATGTGTAATTCCCTTATATATGTGGGAGACAGGCAGAAGCAAGTAGCAGGAAAGCTTCACTCTTGGAAAACACAAAGTAAATCTGGTCAATATTCCATATAAACAGACATGCAAATCCACCCAAGCTGGATAAAGCATCCAGAAGAGCTGTTCCTATCACCAGTGGAGTCAGAAGTCCTTCCTTCCAGTAGTCTGAGAGGGGCCAAGCATGCAAAGTGCTCTTGGAGAAGTCTCCAGGGAAACCTAGCCCCCAGAGAGCCCCCATGGTGCCTCCTCTTCCTCCTCCTCTGATAGTCTCTAGAACACCGAGTTCTCATCTTCGCAGATCTCAATTCAGCTCCTGGAGTAGGATTGGTGGCAGCTGTAAAGAGGACACAAGGGCAGCATCTGAGCATGCTGTGATGTGTAGCCCCAAATCGGGTAATGCCTCTTCCAGAAGAGTCCTGAGGACTTTGGATATTCACTTAAATCCATCCCTGACTCAGAAGTTTTCAGAAGGATTTGAAAGTTGAGGGAAGACTTAATAATATGTACAAGATACTCTGAAGAAGATGCAGTGGTACTATGAGTAAAAGCCTTTCCATCAAAGCTGAGGGACCTGACAGATGCCAAGCAGTAGAAGCTGCTTCCTCTTAACCAGTGCTAGACTGATAATAAGAAAGAAAAGATACCAGAATTAAACAAGTACGTGGAAGCTCAACACTTCTTCTGTGACAGACCTACAACACTGGGCTTTGGTTTAAAAAACAAAAACAAAAAAACCAAGAACTTGAAGTCTGAGTTCTCCCTGTGCAGTGTGGCAGCGTGATGAATATGGAGGAGCAAACCAGTAGGAAAAACCCAGCAGTAAGCTGGGTTGTTAGGCCCCATCAGTGAGCTTAGCATTTTGGCGGGGGAAGACGTATGCTTAGCGTATTTACTTAGCATGGGAAAATAATATGGAAGAGAGAGGCCTACATCTCTGCTGACATGGCAAGTCAGGGGAAACTCCACCAGCACCAAGAGGCCGGGGAGGGGGAACCAGAGCAGACCTTCCTCCAGTCCCTTCTTTTAAGAGCCCAGACTCTGGATTTGATTCTGTTGCTGCTGGTACCAGCAGAATTTTACTAAAAGACAGAACAAAACCAAAAAAAGGCAAATAGTAGCATCTATGTTTTAGGATTTGGTTTTTTGTTTATTTGGTTTTTTTGATGGGTATGAGAAGAAATGAGGTACGCTGAGGTAGGTGAAGGTGGATGAGACATGGTAGTGGAGCAGTAGGAAAGGGAACCTTCCTTCACTGATGTTTACAGTACAAGAAGGTGAGAACATCAACAGATATTTTGATTTTTAAGGGCAAATGATGATACTGACGGACAACAAATGCTGCAAAGCAGAAACAGATTCACTGGGAACTTGTCAGGCACATGGACTATTGAGCATGAAGTCAGAGATGCCATCTGCTGTTCAGGTGATGCATAAGCCATATGCAGAATGAGAATTTAGGATATTGATGAAAGCTTTGCTTTATTCCTCGTGCTAGGTTTAGGCTTCTTCTGCAAACACGTGCAGGCTGCAGGGCTGGGTGCCTTTCTGATCTTAGCCATTCTGCTTCATCCTTGAGGGAGTTAAAATCTGCACACCTGCACACATATGCACACATATTCTGCAAGCACTCTGACCTGCTGTACATGTTCCTGCTCAGTGCAGGGGAGTTGGACTAAGTGGCCCTTCAAGGTCCCTTCCAACTCTTAACAGTTCTGTGATCTGATGGTTGTATGTACATAAAAGTTTTGTGTATATATATGCTTGTGTATGTTTCTAAGATGAGTGTGCATACTATGTACCTTAAGCATTGTATGGGAACTGCTGAATCACGGCCTGAACCTTTTATTGATCACCTGAGGCGAGCAATGAATCAGCCATGGGAGCACAGGTGAAGGCAATTCAGCTGTGTTGCTGGAAGGGGTGGAGCCTGGCTCCCTCTCTCCTAGACCTATTTAAGAGCTGACTACCAGTGGAGAAGGATCTCTTTCTGGAGATCTGCTCCTTTGGAGTTTTATAGTGAGCCCAGGACACAGGTAAGCATTTTATCTATTCTGTTCTGTATAATAGCCTGCTTAGCCAAACTCTCTGGTATATTTCATAATAATAACAAGTAATTTCATAATAATAACAAGTATATTCATTGATTATACAAGCATATGCATAAATTTATAATATAGTACACAGTAAGCTTTGTATAGCCCATAGGAAGCTCAGTTGCTCTCTCTAATGGGCCAGCTTTATCACTATTACTTGCTATGTTGAGCAAGCAGGTGAGCATCAAAAATAATGTAGTGCTGAAAGTTCTGAAGGACTTAACATGTTTAGCAACCTTCATGTTCTTCAACTTTTGTCTGCTAAGCTTGAAGGAACAGTGAATCCACATCTGTGAAATGCAGTATTACGTGCAAAGCACAGGACAGGCAGCTTTTGTGGTGGGGGACATTTTGAGAACTGAGTAACACAGACCCTGCTGTACTGCAATAAAAGGGCAGCTGAAGGAAGGAGAAAGGTCAGTCTTGGAAAGGAAGATACACATTTGGATGTGATTTGATGTGGCTTGTCCTCCAGACAGGACAGTGTACGTGCTACTATGTAGAGCAGAATCAAAGAATTGCAGCATCAGTTGAGTTGGAAGGGACCCTTAAAAGTCAACTAGTACAACTCCCCTGCAATGAACAGGGATGTCTACAGCAGATCAGGGTGGAATATCCACTGCCTGGTAGGTCAAAGCTTCTTCCAGAAGCCATCAGCTCTTGGAATATTTCAGATGCTGCACAAATGTGAGCAAGTAAAACAAGGATGCCAGAAGCATTAGTGTGGCAAGGGGAGGAATGTATTCTGTGTGCTACCTGCAGTCAGGTCACGACTTGTAGAGCATGTTCAAGCAGCTCACTATCACAGAATCAAAGGATGATTTGGAGGAGCTTTAGACTGGACTTACAATGTCACCCTCTTTTTCTTCCTAAGTATAGTTTTAAAGCAGTCTTTAGCAAAGCCTTTAGCAGGCTCCCAGAATTGGCCCAGCACAACAAACACAGACTTGTTGGTGTCTGTATTACAGACAGCTGCCATAATCAGTGTATGAATTAACAGTGCTCCTTCAGACAGCTGCATCATTGTTATCCTGGGGCCGTCTGGACTGAACCTTCCATATCTAACCCGAAGTCATCTACAAGCCTACAGATTCATTCTCCTGACACAACTGTGTTAGAAGTGCTGCCCAAGGACCTGTTGCACACGCAGGTGACAGCCCCTGTGTGACCCAGTGGTGCCTTACCAGAGCTGATGACTGCAGTGTGCTCACCACACACCTGAAGAGCCAGCAGTCCTACACATTCCTTTGTCCTGAACACTACAGGCAATGACAACACCACATGACAACTGGACTTCTTGAAATCCTTCTAAATACATTTTTTTATACCTTTATATATTTTTACGTGTTCTTAAGACCACACAAGTTCTTCGTAGTAAGTAAATTCATCATATTTCTACCCTTCCTCTTCAGACATTTGTGCAGTCTACTTCTTTTGTTCATAGTTAAGACATCATTATAATAGGGACAAGAAGCCTACCCTGCCCTTCATGTCATTTGACAAGTGTCAGAGGAATCTGAAGATGTTATGATTTGCCTTGCTGGTGCTTAACAGAACCTAAATGTTAATAGGAAGAGCGTTGGATGCAGCAGACAGGTTCTTGAACAGCACTTCAAGCTCATCATCTCAAAGCCGAGTAAAGATAATTCAAAGTTTTTTTTCCTGTCTCCATGCTCCATTCTGCTCCCATAACAGCAAACACTTCTAACCAAATTTGAGTAAATAATAGCTGGGATATGACATATAAATGATTCACAGGAACAGAATTACAGAAATCACCAGGTTTTAACAGATATGAGTGGATCGGGTGCTGTCAGTGTTCCTGTCCAATGGTTCCCTGCCAAAACTTTCTCTGCACTGCTCATACTGATGGCCTACAATGATAACCAAAAGCCCCACCAGCTGGTGTTTGCACTGCTCTTTGGGTGCTCATCTCTGCTGCTTCACCTTAACTACCCATGGACTGTGGAGACCAGTAAGAGGAAAGCATAGAAAACAGAAGGGTCCTCAGTAGAGGGATGTGCTCATAAGCAGTGTTTTCCTCCAAGATGACTTGGCTGTTGTCTGCTTATGTTAATGGTGGAGCGGACGCAAGGCTCTGTATGGGCACCTGGCAGTAACATGCTGACACAGGTCCTTGGGATGAGAATAGAGTTAAATGAGGCCCTTCAGCTTCAACAGGGTGGAAAATCCTGTGTGTGTGTGTGTGTGTGTGTGTGTGTGTGCGCGCGCTCCTAAAGCCTGTTTTTCCCCTCTCACACATGCTCTTGTTCTCTGTGTCTGTTTTGGCTGCCTTGCTAGCCGCTTTGTCATTGTGTCACTAGGTGTGAAGCAAAGATTAAGGGTTTTTTTTGTTGTTCTTTTGCTGAAGTGTCTGGACAATGTGAATCTGCTTCTGCCAAGATACTGCAAGTACTGCAGTGACAGAAAGGATAACCCATCAGAAAGAGTGGGAAGGAAAGGCGATCAGCACTACTGGCACTTCTTTCTGCCAAATGGGCAGCAGCAGCGTCAGCAGTCCCACAGAGCCAAGTTTGCATTTTCTGCATGTCCTGGGCACTGCAGTGTTGTTAGTCTCCATGCTGCTTTAGCAGAAAACCTGCTCCTTGTCTCTAAGGAAGCCAAAGCATCTCAGCTTCAGTGGCTGGTTCAGTGCCCACATACTCCTTGGGGCTCCTGTGCTCAGTCTTACAAATCACATCCCCTATCCCTGATTGTACTGCACTGCTCATTTGTAGCATTCAGTACTTCTGCAAATTGCATCTCAAGTCCAAAAGCTTGTGACTCCGCCAACCTTCAACAGAGCTATCAGTTGAAGATAATGCCAATGTAATTTTATCCCCCTCCAAAAAAAAAGAAAAGAGGGATCTGAGGAAATACAGACTCAGTTTTATTTATGGAGTGTGAGTTCTGTTAAGGTTCTGTGAAGAAATACAGCTAAAAATTACACACGTGTGTATGTGTGTATATATATATATATGTTTGTGTGTGTGTGTGTGTGTGTGTTTATATTTGTACACGCACACTGCTACCAGGCTTTTTCTATGCCTGCTGCTACCTGCAGGTGCTCAGCTGTAAATCCCACTGACTTTAATAGTGCAGGACAGGCCCATGCATTCCCATGAGCTTTAGGACTGGAAGCATGACTGGAGCTGTGCAGGACTGGGTGGGAGCACAGCAAGGTCTGTCCAGCCCACAGCTCTGCTGGGCTGGCTGCTCTCAGGCTGGGCTGTGCCTTGTATTCATTAGCACTGCAACACGCGGTCATTTTATGCTGCAGAAGACAGCTAAATGGTCTGATGCTCTCTTGATACTTACCCATGTAGCAGCAAAAATTTGATTTAGAGACATGGGAACGTTGGACTGGTAGACCATGCTAGGGACTTGTTCCAAACAGCACAGTGGAAGTCTTTGTGTTTCATACTGAGAGTCTTTCATAAACTATATTTTTAGCAGTACTACAAATTGCAGTGAAGCGGTTTTTGCCTCTGTCCGTGGCACTAATCTCAGTCTTTGTCCTACTCCAGCTAATAGGCTGCATTATTGGCAGACAAGGCAGTAAGATAAATGAAATCAGGCAGATGTCAGGAGCGCAGATCAAGATTGCTAATGCCACAGAAGGCTCTGCAGAACGACAAGTTACAATCACAGGATCCCCTGCAAACATCAGCTTAGCACAGTACCTCATAAATGCAAGGTAAGTTGACTTTGTAAGTGATGATGCTTCCTCAGGATTGCTCTGACTGCTCTCCTGCAAATCTCTGTCCTGAGTAGATCCAGAAAGTTGCTTTGTACTGTCCATTCTGAATAGTACTATTCGATTCCCAAAGAGTTGTGAAGCCTGTATTATTAGAAGTTGTGTTTACTGTTGGTTTACGTGGAAAGCAGCTTAAGATGGTGCAAGTCCAGGTACATTTTGAATGACAAAAGATTAAAAAAAAAAAATCTGAATATTCGCAATTGCATCCACCTTAAAATATAGGTGGATTAAAAATGGCAATTATAACTTCTTCAGAAGGAAATACTTTTCACAGACGTTTTACTGTCCTAAACGGCAAATATAATGAAACAGATTGCAAACCAGATTTAATTTACTAGCTGGAAATTGCCACTCAGAGTTGATATTAAACTGACATGTGGTTGCTAAGAAGGCACAGGATTTATTTTTTCAGAGACAGCACCACAAATTTGTAAAAAGCTTTCCCTAATGAGACAGAATGAGACTATCTGCTTTGCCACTTCTCAGCACCAGGATTAATGACAGCACTGCTGTTTAGCTAAGCCACTGAGACAGCTTAAGTCTCTGTCAAGTTTGATATGATTATTTAGAAATATATTAACATTGATACCGCTTTTATTTGCTATTACACTGAGAAGAAAGTGAAGTGGATATGGTGCTGTCTCACAGAGCTAATTGTAAATTGTGGTTCAAGGCAACAAATGTAAGGAGTAGCTATATGTATTTTATTGCTTTGGGGTTTGGATTTGATTTTGTGTTGTTTGTTTTATTTTCTAAAAATACTTCGTTACAAATTGAGTGCTGTGTTTAATGATGTTTGCTGTTAAGATAGAAGAAAAGTATGTCATTTATATACAGAGCTGTGGTCGTGGTAGGGCTCCTCTATGGTCCAACCTCCTCTACACCTCAGTTCTGCACTGCAACTGCAGGCACTGTAATGAAGGAACAGAATGTTTGTGCAGCTCTGTATTACAGCAAACAAAACTATTACTTTTCATAGTTCAATTTGGAAAGTTTCCTAGAGAAAGACGTATTTAGGAGTGGCATCATGAAGCCTAAGATAAGGTGTTTCCAAGCGCCTAAATCAACCTACAGTTCTTTTGATTGATATTCTTTATAGCAAATATAAGTCACTTCCGTAAGCCCTGTAATCAAATAAAAATGTGTTCCCTCCTTTAACCCTTAAGGATATGTTCTTCTCTTGGTGTTCAGGGATTCCCCACACATCGAGACGAGAATAGACCCCTTCATTTTTAGTTGCACAAACACCATATGGCATGCACCTGGATCTCAGAAGATAACAATTTAAGATCTTCAAGACAGCTAAAGCATGCAAATAAAATAATGCACTTATTTATGGAGTTGCAGTGAGCTGCTCACCAGAGACAGAAACTCTAGTGAACAAACCTCTCTTTGACTCACTTTAGAAAAGCCTGTGAACTCTCACAATTCCGTTTAATTACTGCTTAACAAATCTTTTGATGGAATGAGAAATGTGTGGGGTCTTTTAAGATACTTTTGCAAAGAAGAAAACTTCTCAGCAGTCATACACATGGATGCTCTATCTATACCCTGTGAAACCAGAAAGTATTTTCTTCCTGCTGGCTTTCTAGAAAGTCATTTGTTACCATCATCTACAATAAACCATCATATATTATTATGTACCATATGTTGAAACTGTGTTTAGATGAAGCAACTTCATTTGTAAATGAAGACTCTTAAAGTAATGTATAATAAATTAAGTTCTAAGGTGACATAGGACATTAAGGTGGCTTTTTCATTTAAAAAGTTACACTGCTCCAGATTTCTCTTCTCCCAAGAGAAATGTCTGCCCAGTGAGGTGCCACCGCAGCCACAGCACTGGCCAGCAGTACAGTTAACAAGACATAGTTTGAGATGTGAAGAAAAAAAAAAAAAAAAATATATATATATATATATATATAATATATACAATAATAAATAAAAGCCATATAAACATTCAGGGTAAGATGGACTTTTCTTTCTACTCTTCCCCCCAAGATCCAACATTCTCATAGATTTGGTTTCCAGGGACAGTATTTCTGCATAGATAATGTCTCACAGCAGCATGGGATGTGAAAAACCTATCCAATGTATTCCTCTAACTGTGTGTATCTCTAGCCAAAGTTGCCATCTATATAGCAATTTATCAGGTTGTTTTAGACATATTATTGCAATCTGGTGTTGAATGTGTACATAAGATTAAGTACTCTAAATTACAGATATATAAGTACATTGATACAGTATCAAGACAGAGATTTAATTCTTTAAGTACTGTTTTTGTTCTTTGTTGACTATCCAAGGGTTGAACTCTGTATTAGCAGAATTTGTCCCAGCTTGTTTGCAGTAGAAATGTCTTTTTTTCTTGTAAAATCTTCTGTCTCTTAACTGGTAACCGTTGTAGTAACTGGATTTTCATTATCCAATTACATCTTCTAGCTTTTATTAAGAATGAACCACAGCTTAGGTTTCCTATGTAATATTTGACTTTGGGGTGTAAGTGACCTGTAGCCAGCAGCACTTTCTTCTTGTTGAAGAGCAGTTTCCTGAAGATGTTTTTCACTTCCGTTTTGATGAAAGAGTCATTCACAGAACAGAACCAACAAAGGCAATCTCGAGCTTTATTCCTTCTGTACGCTAGTCGGGCAATGCAAGACGTGGCCTTCAATGTATGTGTTTGTAAGTGTAGCTCTTCAAAGTGGAAAATTGGCATAATGAAATTCTGTATTGAGTCTGCTCATCAGCTTCCTTATTCAATTCTGTTGTATGTATAACCGATTTGGGAAACTTCAGCTGTCATAAGACAGCTGAAAGCCAACCTGATGTACTTTCACCTCGCTCGTTACCACCAGAAATAAAGGTGAAGTAATGCCAATTAGTGCTTCTGTTGTACCTGTGCAAGTACACCAGGCAGGGAGTCTGGGTGTCTCAACACCACTGCTAAGCCTGTGAGATCTGTTCTCTGTGTTGGTGCAGGGCAGTGAGCTCAGCCTCAAATTCTATCCACGCAGCAGTAGAAATTCTTTATTTTTAAATACAAGGCAGGCAAATCCAGAAACAGTGAGTACGGCGTTTTCTTTCTATATGCCTCCCTCCCAAAATCACATGATTTTAGAATTGTTAAAAAAACCTAAACTGCATAAACAACTAAGGCATTGCCATGTAACTCCTACATGGAGTTGGATTGGATTCACTGTTTCAGTGCTAAAAATAATCATTCTTGACATAAATCCCACTGTGCAAGTAGATTGCAAGCAGCAGTTCTGGCAGTGCAAGGATGCTGTTCTCCCTGCAAAGAGTGATTCTATTGTTAAGTTTAGGAGAAAAGGTGCTCATCCACGAGGCAGATAAACATCACAGAACAGAGGGCAAGAAAACCTAAGTTTTACATTCCACAAGCAGGTCTACATTTCACACATTACCTTCCTCCATCCCAACCCATCAGATAAAACATTTTTCAACTTCCCAGCAAAAGTATCTGATGAACTAGTATCACAAGAGCCCTTTTCTTTTGAGGGAGGAGTGTAGTACTCAAACATTTCCCTCTCCTCCTTTCTCCAGCTCAGATCAGAATTAGGTATCCTTTAACCTCACCTTTAGCAGCAGTGCTTTGGGAAGCAACATCACTGCCCATTTAGTGATCATTTATTGCTTTTGTGCTTACCATCACACTACAAGGGGTCATGCCTTCTGGTTGTTACTTTCTCTGGCCATGAGAAGACTGGGGCTGTTCCTCACAGCTGCACATAAATCTCAAATGAGAAAATGCAAGGTTATCCCATGCCTTGCATAGAGCAACCATTCCTCTCTGCTGCTTGGGTGAGGAGCTGGGCTACTGTTACTGACTGACCCCCTTAGCTGGGAAGTTTCCCCTAGACCCGATGAGACTTGATAATAAGTGGCAGGTACCCTGCCAGGCAGCCCTCTCTGTGGTGGCTCACTCTGCTGCCACATATATAATGGGAGCCTGTAATGATTTGCTAACCCGTAGTCCCATTTATGTTAGGCAGTAACACCTCCCAGGTGATTACATGCAAAACACATACCAAAATTAGCATTTCCAGATTGTTTACTGATCCCAAAGCACAGTGCATAAGCTGTTAACAGACACATATCAAAGTAAAGATTTAACTAGGTAAACATTTTGTCATGCAAAAGAAACAAATGAAAAAAACCCACAAAAACCAATGTGCTCTTGGAATTACTATATTTCAATGTGTAAAAAAAGCAGAGAAAAGCCTAAGCATACAGGCCTTCTGGCCTTCCAGTGAGTGGACTTAATTATGGTGAAATGAATGTTGTTTTATACCTACATGCTCCAAAGAGCCGTTCACTTTGTTGGAGTAAGAGGTTGGGTCACTCTGAATTGCCTTGTGCTCTCTGGGTCTGTGTGATGTTTATGTTATGTTGTATCAATGTAGTACTTTGTCTGTCAGCTGTTGGGTGATGTTAACTGTAATCGTTGTGATGAGCTCAGAATGGATACCACTGCTGTGGAAGCCGGGGTGTTGTTCCAGTCTTCCTTTTTTTTTTTTCCTAATTTCCTTATAATTAGATTGCATAAATATTTTGTTGTGATTTGGAGAAAAAAAAAAAAAAAAAAAAGTCCAGGGGAAGTACAATCCTAAGTGAACATACTGTCTGATCAGGTTTGTTTTATATGAAAAATGCACACTGACCTCACAGGGAACTAAATGAGACTAACTTTGTGAAACAAGAACTTGACACCTTACATGGGAAGAGCAAACCATTGCTTAACAGCTTCTCATCCTAGCAAAATGACCAAGGGTACTATTTCTGTCACAAAATTGACCAATTGAAAAAATTACCAAAACCCCCCGTGTCCCATTCTCAAAACTACTGTAAGATTCTGGAAAGCAAAATTCACTACATCAGTGCTGGGGAGTAAACTTCATAATTCTTTTAAGTTTACTTTTAAGTTCTGTTTTTTCCATCTTTTTGCCATTACCTGCATTCCTTAGATTTCTTTTCTCACGTGTAAAATAAACTAGCCAAACCCTCAACCCTTTTTTTCTTTCTGAAAGAACTTACTTTAGAGTCTCAGTAACGTTTTCACCATCGAGTCATGAAAAACCCTTTTGTTATTTCTCTTCTTTAACACATAACATGTTCCTCCTTTGACCCTCATTTTCCCTTTTTTCTCTCTTTTCCCTCTCCCTCCCACACCTCCGACCCCTCGCCCACCTATCTAACCCCCGCCCCTTCGTGGTTGCTCTCCCCCGTCCGTCCATCTGTCCATCCCTCTCTCCCTCCCCACCGCCCTGGCTGGACCCTCCCAACCTGTTTGTTCCTCTTCCTCTCTTCGTTTGCAGCTTAGAGATGGCTAAAGTCAGCACCCAGACCGCTTCCGTCACGACCCCTGTTGACCTCAACATGAACCTCTCTCAGTCTGCCACCCCTACCTCCACCCCCACCTCCATGGCCGTGCTGGCGGCCGCCTCCGCCGTTACCGTCAGTACCCCCCCTCCCCTACCAACTCTGCCAACCACCCACTATGCCGTTCCTGTCTCCAGTCTGCTTGGCATGAAAACTGTCCCACTCCTGGCACTAAATGCCGCGGCTGCCGCGGGGGCCACGGGGAATTTGTCCGCTTACACTGCCAAAATTCCTTCGACGAGCGGGGTTAAGAAATCTGACCGCCAGAAGTTTGCTCCATATTGAAGGGATGAGACACAATGCAAGCTCTGCCAGCTCTACCAAGAGTCTGTGGTAGATCCTAGTAATCAAGGAAACAATATGGCATCTTTTTCTTTTCTGTTCAGTTGCTAGTGTTAATGTTGCCACCTCCAACCGTCTTCCACTTGCCATAACGACTAACACCCAGGCGCCCGGCAGCAACTAGTTCCAACAGCTGCGCAGGGCCCTGCAGGCCCCGTCATTCCCCCGCCCGCAGGGGCAGCAAGCCACGCTTCTGGGGCTGAAACAGACCTGTGAACAATTGGAAGACAATGAGGAAAAAAATATAGTAGCGCCTTAAGCTTTTCTTAGAAATTTTCTCTGGTTCAGGGAACCGTAATTTGGAGAAATAAACGCAGGAAGGGAGAACAGACCTTTTTTTTTTTTTCTCTTTGACATGTGACTCTTCCAAATTACCAGTAATTGCTCCTGTAGCTGCTTGAGAGCAGGTACACACCAGCCCTCTGCCACCTCCCTACCTACAGGTCCGAAGTGCAGTCCCATGCCACGCACCATCCAGCCCCAGCATACATGCTGCAGAACTTGCTGAAACCAGCAGAATAAATCCCGTGACCTCAAGGGGTGCAGACTTTGTTCAACCAAAGTTTCGTTCAGTTTTCCCGTAGGTTTCTGTAAAACATTAATTCCTAATAAGGTCTTCAAATTGCACTGTAGTTATCATAGAATGGTTTGGGTTGGAAGGGACCTGTAGCTCATGCAGTCCCAACCCCCTGCTATAGGCAGGGACACCTCCGTCTAGACCAGGTTACTCAAAGCCCCATCCAGTCTGGCCTTGAATGCTTCCAGGGAGGAGACATCCACAAGCTCACTGGGCAACCTGTTATTACAGTGTCTCACCACACTCACAGTACAGAATTTCTCTCAAATATCTAATTTAAATCTACCCTCTGCCAGTTTAAAGCCATTTCCCCTCATCCTGTAGCTGTGCATCTAGTGCACATCAAATGACATTCAAAGATTGCTGCCTAGATAGATAGCATCCCTTCCCAAGAATTACATCCAGATTATTTAAGTCAGAAGCCCAATTGCAGCCAAGTTGAAGAGAGCTGGGTGATGTAATGGCTGGTTGCTAGCTGTTGGAACTAGTTTTTAACTGCATTTTCTGTTTGTCCATCCACCTTCTTTTTAATTTCTGCTGCATAACTCAGTAATGCAATATTGTTTTCCTCACCACTTCCAAACCCAGAATCCCATTAGCCCGCCACATTCATCCACTTTGCACTCCTTGGACACAAAGCTTTAACAATTGAACTGTATTCAGTGCATTTTAATATAAACTAAAAACACAGTGCAAATGCAATACTTTTTAAAACATGGTATTTCAAAGTGTGTTATTATTATTGTATAGGGCTAAGTACTATTTCAGCATTTTGTGTCATTTCTGTATTTTGTGGGCTTTTCTTCACCTTTAGGAACTTTGCACTAAGTTGTGTCACTGTAACTGTTTGTAGAATTGCCACTGTTACAGGTTGCACTTATCCAGATGGGGTTTTTGGTTGTTTGAGTTGTGTTGGGTTTTTGGTGGTTTTTTTTTGGTTGGATTTTTTTTTTTTTTTTTTAAATATAATTGAAAATAATGTCAAGGTACCTCAGCTATTTCACAGCTCTAGAAAAACGCTGTAAAACTGTTCCGAACTGTTGTAACTGTTCCAATAACTGACATTTGAAAAAAAAAACAAAAACAAAACCAACACAACCTGTGTGAGAAAACCTGCCTGCATTGAAATGCTGTTCTATGCTGGTTGTACTCAAGTGTTATTTTTTTAATAGTGAGAAGATTTTTTTTTCTTTTTCTTTTTCTTTTTCTTTTTTTTCCTCTTTTTTTTCATTTTTTTTTCTTTTCCTCATTTTTGTTCCTACATTTTAGGCTGTCATCAGAAGTTACTGGCCTGGGGGCTCTGTAATGTATCTCATCCTGCCCTAGTGCATTAGCCACCAGACAGGACTTTTCCAAAGCCCTATGAGACAATGCTTTTATGGACTAATCTACAGAGGAGTTTCTGCCATTTCTAACTTTCTTATTATTCTGAGACATCAAAAGAAAATACTTCTTTTACTCTTTAAGCAACTGTGCTTCCTAACTCTTGTGTTGCTCCAGTTTTAACACTGTTGTGGGTCATAACATAAAGCAAAGCAAAGCAATTTTCGAGGATTAATTTCCATCGATGTTCATGCTTTAGCTAATCTGTATAAAAGCATGGGCTGTTAGTGTTCTAAAAATCACTGTACTCAGCTAGAGACTTGACAGTAAATTAAATGAGACGTTTTTATAAATAAATTTTTTTCCTGATTTAAAAAAGACGTGGTAGCTTTGTGCATACAACTGTTGTGTTGTTTAAACTTTGTTCTTTGTAACCAAGTTGCTAATTTGTCATTTGAGAAACACTATTTTATGGATTGTCAAACTAAAATCATAGACAAATTGCTTGTTTTCATTAATGATTAAAGGTTTCATATCATCACGCTTCAGGTCCCAGTGCTCATTGGGAAAGAGTGTAACAACTGTGCAATACTGGCAGTACAAGAAAGTGCACTAGCACTTTTGTCCTCAGGAATGACAATTCTGCACATGATTAGATGGATCCAGACTGTGTCATTAGCATGGCAAGCAGTATTTTCTGCTTTTTTTCTTTTAACAAAGCTGCTCCTGAAGTACTTTTCACACAGCACAGAAGAGACAGAATTTGGCCTCTTGCTACAAGAAGCCACTGCTTTGTATATCTCTCATGTGTTTCCTATGCTTATTTTAAGCTCAGATATTTGGGAAAAGAACAAAACTGAGTACTGCACGCGGCACTGTTAAAGCTTTTCATTTTTTCCTATTCCCAGCAGCAGTGTCCAGTGACAGGGCTTCCCAGGAGCACCCTTCACCAGTCAGGAAAAGAGGCCAGCAGCTGGGAGGTGCATTACAATTTGTATCATTAAAAAGGAGGAATGGAGTACTGGCCTACAGCCTTTCCCATCCTGAAATACCTCATGTACCATTCACCTCCCTTTGGATCTGCTGAAGCACTATAGAAACAGCCTCAAGTTTTCTGTTCACACAGAAAAATGGGCTGGCTCCAAGTTGTTGCTGCATGCAGCACTTTTGCAGCATTCTTGCCACCTCTCCTTTTTAGGGCCTTGGTAGTCCTTTCAAATGTACCACTTTATGCTGCGCAACCAAAGTTTTTGGCAGTGTGAGTAGCATCCTTAGTGATATGAGCCTAATTCTACAAACAGCATCGTCACTCTAAAATATACACTACGTCTTCGTACTTACCTTGGGCTTCCCTTCATGGCCCTCGCTGGGTACCTGTGCAGTATAACGTTCTTGTTTGCATTGAAAAATAGGGTGCAAAGAGCAACAATGGATCTGGGTCTTGATTCGAAGCCAGGAACTGTGATATATCCAAGATGTGCATATAGACCTGGAAAGCACAGAAGTTAACAGCTTTTTCAGTAAGATGCAGAAAAAGGGCAGTCTACACAGGAAGATTTCAGAATGCTTCATTGCGCCCCAGCAAGCAGGAAGCATGACTCCGTGTTCAATTAGCTATTCAAATCCTAGGCTGCTTTCAACCCGATAAAATTCTATGTATGTTATTACTTCTCAAAATGTAAGTTCTTACTCTTCAAGAGGGTGCTGAAGCTGCTTTTGCAGTGAGGACATCTGTATCTTACATTTCCTAAATAGCAAGCACTGGCTAATAAAAGGAGAAGGAAAAAAAGGGGAGAGAAAAAAAAAAAACACACATTATTGCAGCTCAACACAAAGCATGTCAGGACTTCGGTGTCCCAGTGAAGCTGCTAGGCAAAGCTCTGACTTGGCTAGGACAGAACTGAGATTTAAACTAGTTCAGGGGCACATGTGTGTGTTTGGGGGGGATAAGGAGTAAAATGAAGATGTAGATATAGCAAGAAAAAAGGAAATATTTTGAGAGCATTTTGCCAAAAATAACAAAGAAAGAAATATGTTAAGATCTAAGCTGAGTATTGATTTTAATTTAATGATTTTAGCTAGAAAAGATTTCTGAATGGCAAGAAAATGTTCCTGAATAGCTTTGACATACAGAAGAGGAAAACAAAACACAAGAAGGTACATCTGGAGGAAAAAAAAAAAAAAAAAAAGGAATACTATCCTAGACAGAAAATTAAACCATTCATGCCCAAAAGCAGATTAAAAAACCCCGTGCACCTGACAGAAAAGGTCACTCCCACACAACTGTGAGCTACCATCTGAAAAATAATACAACTTCCACAGCTTTCACATCATCCATTTGTTATCAGAGTTCTGGCTAACACCTCAAATGAAGTCAAGTCTTGTGCCTCTTTAGAAGAAGAAAAAAAAAAGGTAAAAACATTGCCTGGAATAGCCAACAAAAGAAAACAAAAACAGACACATTCAGCCACATAACATGCCCCACTACTGACAGGCAGAGCACTTTCTATTGTCAGATAAAACTGTGGGCCCCAAAGTGTGTATTTACAGCTGTCAGAGCTCCAGGGAAGCTAACAGCACAACCAGCAAGGCTGCCACCAGTGTAGGCACCTGCTAAGTGCTAAAGCCTCGCTGGGCTGCATGAACTGGTTACTTCTGTGGAGGCACAGGATACAGCCACAGAACATGCACTGAACCTCCCACCTGAGGCAAGCAGCAACAGAAGTTGCCCTGTTGGGTAGTTAGGCTTTTTTTTGTCTTAAATGTCTTAAATTTTGTCTTAAAATATATGTATATATTTTTTTATTATTATTATTTTAGTTTTTGCATAGACTCAATCTCTGATGAATGTATTTCAGCACAAGCTACATACTTGGAACACTTGTTGTCTCTTCTCAGCTGAACGTTGTGTTTATCAGACAAGAAAGTTACATACTCAAAAATTGAATCATTTTATAATGGCAGAACCTTTACAAAGAAGACAACAACAGGCTAAACTAGATCAGAGGAGTTGTTAAGTTCAAAGTACAAGAGAGGAGAGGGATTTGAACACAGGTCTCTTATAACCACCATAAGTACTGTAACCACCAATGAATTAACCAAGATGTTAGTGCCTCAGTATATTCTTGGAAGGAAAGACCTGGTCTAAATGTCTACACAAGGGAATAACTTGCATTTCTTTTCCCAGCAAAAAAAAAAAAAAAAAAAAAGTCAGGGTAGTTCTAGGGAAAGTGATGAAAAGAAGATTAAATGAAGACAAACTGCTTCACAGCAGGAAATCTGGCCCAAAGACACTTCTTAGGGATAGAAGAAGATATTGCTTCTCTTGTCATTGGTTCCAGGAAATAACACAATATTGATTGAATTGCAAAGTTTCTGCATCAGTGCAGTATGCTGTCACCCTGCAGACAAGCATATGTCTCAAGACAGTAACTGAAATGAAAGAGAACTGTCATATTCATCTGATGTTATCTTATGAAAGGGAATTTCTGAAGCAATTTCTGTTTTTTGAGACAGCTACAGTGAGATATCTACTGGCTGAATGTCTGATTTCTTACTGTAAAAGTTCCTTATTATAACATAAAAAAGTACGTGTACGGTTTGAAAATACCTGAGTAATCTAAATTTTCCTAAGAGCTGTTTTTAGCTCAGCGCTTCTAAGATGGCAGAATGCAGGGAATTTTAATTACTGTGGCTTGTAATAAGCAAAATTTGACTCAGCTCAAACTGAGTTTATTGACAGGAGGACTGACCAAATTAACACTGATGCTTTTTTTACACAGTACTTCTGTTTCTGAAGCTAATTTTAAAATTAGATGCTTCCAAGGAAGAATTACAGTCACATTAACAAATGACAACATCGTTTTCCATTAGGTGTGTTGTTTTATTTTGTTTTATGATCAATTCTGTGCTCTACTGTACCAAATATAGAAGTGGTTGTGAGAAGAGGGTTAAGCCACAACAGCAATTTATCTCCTGTGTGGTGGGAAAGAAGTTAGCACACAGATTACTACCACCTGTGCACTTAGCAGAGAACATTTAACTACCAGTAAGTACTTATAACTGCCACAGGCTGAGCCTGTGGGTACTAACAGCTCCTGCAGGCAGTGGTATTGGAAATTGCATTGCAAACACATGCACATTCATTTTGCCCCATGAAATCATTTATCTGTTTCAAAATCACAGGGCTGGGGAACAGCTCTTAAGCTATGCCTTTCACTAATGGACAACTAAGTGAGCATTACAAATTACTTGGTTAATAAACATCTTTGAGATTTGTTTTCTTTACTTAAAGACTTACCAGCTTGTTTTAAGATTATTGTATTTGGAAAAAAAAAAAAAAAGAAATTAAGCTGTTCCTTCACAACCTTATTTTTTGATAGAAATCACGGGCTCACAGCATGGCTGAGCTTGTCAGGACCCTCCTGATCCATCTGGCCCAATTCCTGTCCCAGCAGGACCACCCAGAGCAGGCCCATGTCCAGGCAGTTGTTGAAGATCTCCAAGGGGACTCGAAAGCCTCTGGCCAGCCAGTGCTTCATCCCCTAATTAAACACTAAATTATTCATTTTTTCCTATTTTTTCCAAATGCCCTCCGCAAATTTGACATACTTTTATATTTTCAAAATAAAAAATATGCTTAATTTAAAAGATAAAAGGAGGAAATAAAACGAAAACCAACCAAATGCAAGAGACACTCACCAAAGTTCAAGGTAGTTGTTTCTCCTCCGTGTCACAGCTTTGTCACATCTTTTGGTTCTCAAGTTTCACTTCATCTGTGTTTATCAGAACATAAATCAATTTTAGATGCTCTCCTTTATTATCTTTGTACAACTTCCTGTATTTAAAGCTAAACAAGTGATCTTACCTCAGCAGTTTCCAGTGCGGTATCTTCTTCTCTGGTATTTTCTTACACTTTCGATCTGTGGTTATG